CCCTCCCTCCCTTTCTCCCTGCCCTCCCTCCCTCCCTCCATCCCTCCATCCATCCATCCATCCATCCATCCCTCCATCCCTCCCACCCTCCCTCCCTCCCTCCCTCCCTCCCTCCCTCCCTTCCTTTCCCCCTCCACCCCTCCCTCCCTCCCGCCCTCCCACCCTGCCCTCCCTTCCCCCCCTGCCCTATCGCACACGTCCCCACATTCGCCCGCTCGGTGGCTTCAGGTGATCAGTCCGCGGAACCACATGGTGCGGTGGGTCGGTGGGTCAGTGGGAGCGCCACCAGGACCGGAGAGGAAGTGTGTCATGGGAGGTTACACCCTACCGGTACACCCTACCCAACCTCACACGCAAACCCCAGCTCCATGCACACACACACACACACGCGCAGGTTTTCACCCCTCTCCTCGCATCCACCACGGTGGGGACTTTGGAGCCTCGCAGTGTTGCCGTACACATGAACGACATACAGCCTGCGCTGTCGTCGCCTTCAAATGCCTTGTATATCGCCGGTGGGTCGCTCGTGTCTGTGTGTGTATATGTATGTATGACACGTTGATTACACTGTGGGCTTGAAAGCCGGGGGCCCAGGGCCGAAACACACACAGCGCGGGGAAGGGGCCCAGACGCACACGGCTGGTTAGTCTCATGCACTCCGCCCCCCGGGTCAGACCGCACGGGAAACGACGGCCGGCACTCAGCAGTGTAAGTATATGTATATATGTATGTATGTATGTATGTATGTATGACTTAGATTACACTGTGGGCCGCGAGAGCCGGGGGCCGAAGCCGAAACACAGCGCAAGGGTCGGGAGCACACAGCACAAGTCGGTTAGTCTGAGACTGCTGACCCACGACGCAGCCGTCCAGCAGCAAGTCTGTCCGGGGAAGGCGCTGCAGTGAAGGTACGACGGCCTCTCTAGTCCCGCCTGTATATATGTATGTACGTCACGGACTCTCAGCTTTGTGGGGAGGCCGGGGAGACCCCCGAAGCCGCGGGTGGGCTAGGGGGTGGGGGCACACACCTATAATCAGGTAGATATTACACGGCAGAGATGCAACCCCCATCCTTTCTTTTTTGTACCTTTTTGTCGTACCAACTCTGTACAGAGGCTCAATCCGTGGATCCGACCAGCCATACCGTTACTTGTCAAAGCGCGGATGGCATGTCGTTTGCCGTATCGTACGACAAGCTGGCAATATGTACGGGATCCCAGGTGCGCAGAGCCACCAAGAAAGACGTCGTACGTCAACCATCACGATTAAGATCGTATCGGATCACATCGGATCAGAGATTAAATCGTTGCTGTGCAGCTGCTGTGCACTTGTGTACGGCTCTATTTGTGCCGCTCTCGGGACGTCCGTACACACCAGCGAGGGAGTCATTGGTCGGTTCGCAGGGAAGCACTTTTGGCATCCCTGGAGTTCTGGAGCACGCGCACTTCCTTCGCGATGTGAAGCAGGCGGAGGCCATTCGCCAGCGGCTCATAGAGAATCTGGCGCTTGCTGGAATCCCAGGTACGAACATGTACGGCAGTACGGAGCGGGGTGCATTCTGTAAAGTACCCGGGCGCAATGGGAGAAGAGTACAATGGTGTGATGCAATGGGTGATATTTCGGTCGACGCAGTGCGGCCCAGTGGCGGCCCCAGTGGCGGCCCCAGTGGCGGCCCAGTGGCGGCCCAGTGGCGGCCCAGTGGCGGCCCAGTGGCGGCCCCAGTGGCGGCCCCAGTGGCGGCCCCAGTGGCGGCCCCAGTGGCGGCCCCAGTGGCGGCCCCCTCCCAGCCCGGGCCGCACCCCACCCCGCGGACTCCGCGGACTTCACGGGGGGGCTGAGCTCTCCAAGCTGCACTCCCCAAGTGCCGTCTCTGCAAGGCGGCATCCCCCATCTCCCTCCCCTCTCACTCTTGTTCGAATGTTCATATGATACCCACCCTAACCACCCACCCTAACCACCCACCCTACCTATTCCCCCCACTCACTCCACCGCTCTCACCTCCCCCGCCTCACCGAACCAGGCCGCCCCCTGGATGAGTGGCAGCGGCTGCTTCATGTCGTCATTGTGGGCGGGGGGCCGACCGGTGTGGAGGTGGCGGGGGAGCTCACCGTGAGAGGGGAAGCGGGTGGGGGGAACCAAACCAAACCAAGCCCTTGGATGGCACGGGGGGCGGGGGACAGACACATGGGGGGGGGAGTAGGGGGCGGAAATCAGGATAGGATAGGATAGGATGGGATAGAGGGGGGATGGGGGATGCAGAGAAGCACCTGTGGCAACACGCATCCAAGGCCACACAAACTGCCGTACGCGAGTCCAAAGCGGGGGTGGCTTTGTGTTGTACGGCACTCAGGACGTACGACACTCCTAGGTGCTGTACATTTTCGAGAAGTGTCCTGCTGTCCTTGGCTGGCTTGGTTTAGGTGTTAGGTGTAGGTTTGGAGGAGCAGACGTTTTGCCGTTGTCTCCAATTTTTTATTCCTGCCAATCCTGCGTTGCAGGTGTATGACCGCGGCCAGCTGCTTCACCAGGAGGAACCCTGATGGATGATTGAATCTTTTTTATTAAATTCTTTGAATTATTGTCTAGATGGATCCATGGGTAGGCAGGATGTGCTAAATGTAGTGTTTTTTGGCGCTTCCATGAAGGATTTTATTTCCCTAAAACCCTAAAAATTAAAACCCTTCAAAACCCTAAAACCGCTCGTCAGGACTTTATTTCCAATGAGCTTCGGAAGCTGTACCCAGAGAGATCTCGTGCCATGAGGTAAGCAGTTGTCGTACAGCAGGATTACTGCGGTCGGTCTCGCTCTGTCGCGGCGTGTTGCGATCACGACACACATGCTGTGTACGACACGCCGATGATCTTCAGGGTGACGTTGGTGGAGGCTCGTGAGCTGTTGGGCTCCTTCGATGCATCGCTGCGCGAGTACGCGGCGCGGAAGCTCATTCGACGGGGTGTCGTACTCCGGAAGGCGAGTTGTTTATATCATTTTTCGCTTTTGTCGCCGTCATTTTACTGTTGTTGTTTACTGTCGTCTTCTTCTTCGTCGTCGTCGTCGTCTTCGTCGTCATCGTCCCGCAGTTTTGCTTTTACCGTTTTTCTGTTTGTTTTTTGCCTTTTTCCTTCTTTTGCTATTTCCCCCTTTGATGCCATCATCATACCTCCCATCACAATTAATTACCCCTGACAGGTTTTAAATCCCTATTCCCCCGCCGCATATTCCCCCGCCGCATATCCCCCCGCCGCATATTCCCCCGCCGCATATTCCCCCGCCGCATATCCCCCCGCCGCATATCCCCCCGCCGCATATCCCCCCGCCGCATATTCCCCCGCCGCATATCCCCCCGCCGCATATCCCCCCGCCGCATATCCCCCCGCCGCATATCCCCCCGCCGCATGTTGCGCTGTCGCCTTTCCCCCCCCTGGATTAAACTCCCGGCCTTCTTTTCCCCCTCACACCCCCTCCCTTTTCTTCTCCTGGACTACCCGTCTTTAGTATCTGCTCCATTCGCCAGTGGTTCGTTCGGTTCTTTTTGACATTGCATGTGTTTGGTCACTCCACGTTGCTGCCCATTTCGCATATTTTTTTAATCCTCCCCCCCTTTCCCCCTCCCCGCCCGTCGTCGTACCCTCCTCCTTGTCCTTGTCCCTGGCCTGGCCCCCTAGGGTGTCGTACATGAGGTCACGGCACAGGATATTGTACTGAAGGTAATTCCTGAAGGGGCCACCCAAGAATGTCTGTGTGTATGTCTGTGTGTATGTCTGTCTCCTAACAAAGGTCTACGTGGGTATCGTACTGTACGGCCCGTGCAGGACGGAACCGTACTGCCGTACGGGCTGTGTATCTGGAGCACCGGCGTCGGCCCCACGCCGTTCACGTTGTCGCTGCCCTTCGCGAAAACTGGTTAGTTGGTTAGTTTGTTGGTTGATTCGTAATACATATTGGGCAATCGAGTGACAGTTGAAGGGTAAGGGGGGGGGTAGGCGGGCAGTAGGTGAGCAGCGAGGCTAGCAGCGGAAATTCCCTCCATTGATATGTTCCCCTCCCATCGTGCAGCGCGCTATCCTTTGTATTAGGAAGTTGCTAGGAAGTCAGGTTTTCAGGGTGTGTGTGTGTACAGCTTGAGTATATCAATGTGTATTCTATACATTCGATCCTTCCCTGACAACATGGCGTCAGTTTTAAAGGAAATTAAAGAAAGCGATTATTTACAGCAATATTCAGCAAGACGGTGACTGACACATAAAAGGAAAAAAATTGCAGCTACAAAAACAATCTCAAATTAGGCAAAATTGCAAACGGAGTGGGTGCACTCCCTCGTACGACACAGGTAATAGTGAATGTGGTTGGGGGTGTGTGGGGAGATCGATCACAGTCCCCGAACACACACACAGAGAGAGAGGGAGCCTCGGCTGGCTCTCTCTCTCTCTCTGTGTGTGTGTGTGTGTGTGTGTGTGTGTGTGTGTGTGTGTGTGTGTGTGCCCCAGCAGTACAGCACGCTAGTTTCCGACACCCTAGTACTTTGAAATTCCAAATTCCAAATCCTAAAAATATTTAACGGTTATGTATAGTATTTTAATAATTTCAAAAACATGAAACATACGACTACTTCGGTCAGGAGAAGAATGTTATCGTTATCGTTATCTTCCTCCCTCGGCCGTTTCGGCTCCGGGATACCTTTCGCAGCTGTGGGCCGCATCGCCGTGGACAAGTTCATGCGAGTATTAGCACCCCCACAACCGCCCCAACCGCCCCAACCACCTCAACCACCTCAGCAGCAGCCCCCAGCTAGTGTAACAGCCGCCGCTGCTCCGCCTTCCCGCGTTCCAAGCATCTTAGCGGATGAGAGCGACACCCCATCCACATCCCGTCTGGAGCCCGTCCCGCATGTGTATGCGCTCGGGGATTGTTGCGCCAACCCGGACAACCCCCTGCCGGCGCTGGCGCAGGTATGTCGTACGTACGGGGGAGGCAGGGAGGGGCGAAGGAGGGGAGAGGAGAGAGGGTAGCAAGGGTTCAGGGGGGTGGGCTACTATACCGGGCCGGGCGGGGTTGGGCTGGTTCGGATTGGGGGAGAGGTTTGTCGTCCCCCCCCCCTCGGGTGGGGCGGTGGGTTTTCCTCTCTCTCTCTCTGTCTCTGTCTCTCTCTCTCTCTCTTTTTCTCATTTTCTCTTCTCCAAGCATACTTATACTTCCGTACACGCACTTTTATTTGCAAAAGCACGATCCACAATTCAAAAATTAACCCTTCCACAAATGTACTCTTGAGGTGGTAAGGGTTCGAATCCCCCATAAGCCCCCCCCAATACCCCGGGTGTGCGTGTGTGTATTGTGTGTGTGGGGCCCTGCAGGTTGCCGAACAACAGGGGCGATACCTCGCCCGCGTCCTCAACGCCGCCGCCAAAGGACCCGTGTACGGCGAAACCACTGCCGTACAGCAGTTGGCTCCAGAATTCCGGTACCGGCACCTGGGCTCCATGGCGACGGTTGGCGGCCACTCGGCGGTTTTGGAGCTAGGGGACGCCCAACGGCGGCAGTTGAGTTTGGCGGGCTTTTTGAGCTGGGTCGCGTGGCGCTCGGCCTACCTGACACGGTTGGGCAGTTTGCCGAAACGGTTGGCGGTTGCGTTTGACTGGACGGTGACGATGCTGTTTGGCCGGGACCTAAGTCGCTGGTAAAGGAGGGGTTGTGTGGGGAAGGGGGGTGGGGAAAAAGGGAGCTGGGGGGAAAGAGGGTTTCCATCGTCGTTTGTTGATGGTGGTGGAGAGGGCGGGGGAGGGAGTGCTTTGCGCAAAGGAGAAGCGGTGATGATGACGATGGCGAGGATGACGATGGCGAGGATGAGGAGGGGGATGATGATGGCGATGAGGATGGTGGCGATGATGGCGATGGTGGCGATGATGGTGATGATGGCGATGGTGATGATGGTGATGATGGTGATAAGGCGAGGTGGGTTAGGGGGAAGGGTAATGCTGATGGAGGAGGAAGGGTTTCCGGCATTCCCGTGTTGTCGGGTTGGGTGCTGTCGAATTGCTCTCTCCGACCCTCTTCGATTATGCGAGTGTGCGTGTATGTATGTATGTATGTATGTGTGGTGTGATGTGTGGTGGCGTTTTTATGATGATGATGATGGTGGTGCTGCTGGTGGTGGTCTCAGGTACGGCAATCACGGGGAGCACCTAGCGTTCACTGCGGTAGGAGGGACTCCACTTCGCCTCTCCACCACAACGTCACGTGAGCTTGAGCCCCTCAAGCTCTTAATTATTCACCAACTGCAGTCGACTGGAACTCCCTCAGAGGACAGTACGTTCCCCACTTTGTATGTGCAAACGCCCGACACGCCATGTCTCTGTCTGGGACGTCTCCTCCTTCGTCTTCTTCTTTATCTTCGGGGCAACCATTGGGAGAGATTTGGGGGGGGGGCAGCAGCAGCAGCAGCAGCAGCAGCAGCAGCGGCGGCGGCGGCGGCGGCGGCGGCGGCGGCGGCGGCGGCAGCGGGAATCCCAACGCCCTCCCGGCAAACGCGTGGTTAACAAAGCCAGTTAGCGGGTTTACGATGACCAACTCTGCGCGCGGTGCACCGCCACGTGGCATTTGGGCAATCTTCTGATTTTCGGTTAGGAAACTGACTATCACGACAAGGGGAATCCCCTGACGTACATGTATGTACGACAATCGGTTATTACGACAGTTAAGCCTTCCTAAACCTGCATGGAGGTTGAAGAGGAGGAGGACAGGGCAAGACAACATGTACAAATCTTCTTATCCTGCTGACGGCCAAGTTCCAACTACCTTGTGCGGCAAATCGTGCGGCAGACATGATCATGGCTTCCTGTATGTATGTATGTGTATCTCGCGCTATATATCGATCTCACCAAATGAGCGCATTGGGCCCAGCCTTTACTTCGATAGCTAGCTGCAGTATAAATGAACGCTGCCGGTTTTATTTATTACATGCTGACGGGGATTGGATTTTATTTCAACGAATCGACCAAAACAAAATCTAAATCCAATCCAGTTGGACGAAGAATTGGACGAAAAACACACAGCTCCTAAAAATGTCCCATCGCGCGCTCATGCCTGTCTTCTCCCCACAAAATGCCACCGCCACCGCCGCCTCATCGCAACGCATTGTGAATTAATAAATATTATGTTTTATCTTTTCCTCCACACGACGCAAACCCATCATTTCATCCCCTCTCTCTTCCTCTCATTTCCTAAAACAAACCCAACCAAAGAAAAACATTTAAGCGCGTTTTCAAATTTATCATATGTACTATATGTATATATAAATAAAGTATATAATATTTAATATTGTTTTTTTTCTCAATTTTGTTGTCAAAGTGTAGTAGCTGTCGTACAGTACATACGGCACACACCTCATCTATGAATACGCGAATACGCGCTTATGAGGCGCTCCGTCGGCTCTAGTCGGCAGTTTTCCAGAGACCATTTCAGCGTCCAGCTGCTACACAGGCGGCAACCAACGCCCCAACTACCGAGCCATTCTCCTTCCAATGGTGAAGAATTCGGAGCCTCCCCAGTCTCCCCAGTCTCTACTCCGACTCAACTCAATCCCAATTCATCTCTTCAACAAAATCCATGAAGGCCTTCCCTCGTCGAACAATTCCTGTTTCTGGAGCAGTATCAAGCATGTGAACAGAATTTAAAACTTCACTTCTCTTAAAAAGCAAGTGTTGCTTCTTGCCCGGCAGAGGTTAAGGCGACCAAAGGCCGGGTGGATGGCGGAACACACCCTCCCTGGAGGATTTCCCCGCGCTTGGGTCTCCTTGGAGCCCTAACTACCTAACTAACAACTTACCTAACTACAATACCCACCAACCTACAGTAGTTGGGCCCCAACTACCTCCGGTTATGTAATGGCCCTCGCTCGTTGTCAATACACCTTCAGCGACAACAACTACCGCAGCTCCGGAAGGGATGGATGGTGTAACACATACATACACATACACACACATATACATCCAAGCAGTGGCACATACGTATATCCGTATTGCATGTACAGCATGTGAAGGGAAAACACGGGTGTGACTGGGTGTGCGCGTGCGGCAGCGGGTGGGTGGGTGGGGACACGGAGAATGATCGGGAGTGCGAAGCTGGCCACCAGAAACACAGCACCCGCTTCACCCGCAAATCAAAACACACACAGATACAAGCACATGGTTACGTGAGGTGGAGTGACACAGGGTGTGTCGCGCGCCCCCGGACGACCAGTACATATTAGGAGGCTGTGGGCCCTCACGCCCCTCTCCCCCCGCCGCTAGGGGGAGAGAGCTTCAGTGCGAACCGTTACCGTTGGGGATTGTACGGTTAGGTGCCCCTGGCCAGCGTCCCAGGCCCGGATCGATGTGTAGCAGATACACATACATACATATATACATATATACATATACATACGCATATGGCAGGGTGGCATATCGCAGGTGGCTGGCATAAATGAAGGCCTGACATCTGCTCCCCAAGTTTCCGGGCTCAAACCCGCTTGCCGCCCCCTCGGTGAGTAAGTGGTGTTAAATTGGGAGGTAGACCCCCATCATGTGGACGGTGTAGGACGTAATTATAACAATTTGCGAGCTGACCAGGAACTAAGATGTGGCGTCGTTTATCCGCTTGACATTGGTTGGATGCTGGTGGTGAGTTGCTGAACCCCACGAATACATTCTGAAGTCGAATGGGGTGAACGGATTAAGGTGCCCCTCTCGCAGGGGAGAGCAGGGAACTGCCTCCAAGGGAAAGGGGGCCGCTGGTGAAGCTATACCACCCTGTAACATATACATATACATATACATGCACACACATGGGCCCACTGGTTCTTTAATTTACTTGATTAAACGTTCCGATCACACAGGCTGAATGACTGAAGGTGTGTAATCTCATGACCCATAAGTCACCTCACTGACCCATGGGTCTATCCTGGTAAGACTGTTTACGGACCACACCACGGGTCAATACACTACCGACCCACGGGTCTTCGGGAGGTGCTACGAAACAGCGAATGCGCCCAGGTGCCCCGACTGAAAAGCAACAGCTCCAGGGCTGAACTCGTTCGTACAAGGGACTCATTGGCGTCGACACTGCCCCGCGGGTCACTACCATGTCGCGGAGGGCGACGCTGCCGCTGCTGCTGCTGCTGCTGCTGCTGCTGCTGCTGCTGCCGCTGATCATGATGATGATGATGGTGCTGTTCATGCAGCTGCTCGTTTGTCGACCCCTTACCCGTCTCCGTCTTCATCGCCGCCGCCGGCGGCGCCGGCGCTTCCCTTGCCACGGTTGCGACACCGCCACCGCCATTGGCGACGCCAACTCCCCGCGCCAATCTCTGACAGCCACCCGCACTGGGCGTCGCTCCGCCAATGGCCGAAAAGAGTCCGCCTCCTCCTCCTCCACCGCCGTCGCCGCCACCACTATTACCACTATTGGCCGAGGCCGCCCTGGCAGCTGCCGCCGTCAGCGCCGCCGCCGCCGCTGCCGCCGCATCTGTCCTCGGCGGCGGCGGCGG